TTTTTTTTTTTTTTTTAATCGGGTGATGGCCTTGAGGTATTATCATCGGACTATCCAGCCCAGGTAAATTCGATCATGTGTCTAATCTGGCAGAGGGGCCTAGGTCCCACTTACACGAATTAAGCGWTATTGACCGTAGATAGAAAAGATAAACGGCGAGAATCTCTTAATCCGTTCAAGTGGGACCTTGCCCCGGGTGGCCTTTTGAGCCCAGGGTGGCCTGAGAGCCTTAGGGTGGCCTGATGGCCTTCAGGGAACCCCGTACAGGGGGACACCGGCCAGGGGACAGCCGGTAACAGAGGGACCGAGAATCATCTGAGTGGCCACTCGCTGTGCGTCCCTGAGTACCCCTCCCTTAGAACTCTTAGAAAGAAATACAAAAGGGAAAAAAAAGAAAAAAAACGAAAGTGGGTTGTTACCCGCAGGTGTATCCCCTTAGGGCCACTGCGTTGTTGTCAGCCCGTGTATCCCGTTTGGTCCCTGTTTCCCCATTGCACAAAAGACAGAAATCATGGCGCTGTATCTTTCCAAGCTCTAAGGCAGATTCACTCTCGTTTTCCACAGTTCCAAATCAATCATGGAAACAGAGTGAATCTTCCCCTGAAAAGATACAGCTCCACCATTTATTTTTTTTTTCTTTATTCTTCTGTTTTTTTTTGGAAAACGGCCTCCCCGTAGGACGTCAATGAGTAGACTCCAAAAATAAATAAATAAATAAATGAGTAGACTGCAGTTACAAACTGACAGCCAGGAGAATGAGGAGTTTGGACTGCAGTGTGAACTCCGGAGGGGACTGGACTCCAAAACGGTCGGGGAGGTTTTTTTTTTTTTTTTTTTTTTTTTTTTTGTGCGGAAACGTCCCTGTGGCGTTCCCTGCCCTCCCGCAACCCAGTGACGCCCCTGCGCTGATATCTCGACACGCGCGCGGGCCTTAAACTGCTTTGAGCGCTTTTGAGCGCGGCGCAGCGTACTTTAAGCGGGCGCTTACGCGCGCTTATACGGTTTCGCAGACGTAACCCCATTCGCTCCTTCCAGAAATCGAACGATACAGCCCAGGAACTCCAGCATCGACCTTCGCTAGTTTTTTTCCAGAGTAAGTTCTTTGTCATAGCACTCTTGAAATTGCTCAATCGGCCGTCGCCCTCTTGCGATTGACTCCTCACAACCTTTCTTACACACAACGACGACGGACACCGTGACACGTCATCAACCATGGAATAACTTTCTATTGCTCAGCTCCCCAAGGAGGAAAGATGGGTATATTCGTTAAAATCGCATAGCAAGCACGCCAGCGCCGGACTGGATGATTTACCCATTGGTATTCCAGCAGTTTGCTGCAGTATCCTCTGGGAAACATAGATATAAGTGTTCTTAAGCTCAAAACAGACAAAGGATAAAATAACTTCAAAAGACAAGAGTGACCAGCCTCCTTCTTGTCGTCCTTTGACCAGACCAACGCCTTTTCCCTGACGGTGAATGCCAACTCCCCGATACCCTTCCCCAATCCAATAGTCTATTACCCACTGGAGGGCACGAATAATAGACTTGTGAGGAAGGTTGGACACCATTTCCTTGAAGTCGAAGGAAGCTCCAACCAGATACTCATCCTTCCATCCTGTAGAATGCAAATTACGAATGCCTTGGATGAGATCCTGCGTGGCTCTCAAGTTGAAGTGAAAATGTCGCGGGAGATTTCAAAGGAGAAGATTGACCGCTCTCGAAACTCTTCGCCCCCCACTTGCGGAGCATTCGGAAAAGACGGACAAATTGGTCTCCACTTGTTAAACCACCACTACCTCGCTCAGCTATCGGCCGCGGGCCTTCCCTTATACGCGCCGCAGCCTTAAGGGGGTCAGCCAAGGGAAGGCCCGGTCGTAACGCAAAGGCCGGCCCCCGGTTCTGTAGGGATGACACGTACGTGGCACCCTCGGCCGCGGCCGCAGGATCCTAGTCCGCGGCCGACCTCCGAGGCCGCAGGCCCGCGGTCGAGGCCACGCGGTCGAGTCTGCGCGCGGCCGAGCCACGCCCAGGCGGGGGCGCGTGCTCAAAATCCGCGCGCGCGCTCGGCCTGCGCATGTCGGCCGGTATAGGCCTGTGCAAAAAAAAAAAAAAAAAATCGAAAATTTGGGGGGGCGATTTCTGATGTGTTAAAAAAAATAATAAAAAAAATACAAAAATAAAATAAATTGATTGATTGATTGATTGATTGATTGATTGATTGGTTGATTGATTGATTGATTGATTGATTGACTGGTTGATTGGTGGGGGAGGGGTCCGCCCTCCCCTCCCGCCGGCACACACACACACACACACACACACACACACACACACACACACACACACACACACACACACATACATACCTACAAAATAAGAATACACTATACACACCAGTAAACTTGTCTCTTATACACATCTAGATGTGTATAAGAGACAGATCCG